TGCTGCCAAACTGGGGCAGTGGCTCCTTCCAGATGGAGGAGGTGCTGGGGTGCCCACCTTGGCGTCATACTTTCCAAACTACTGCTTTCTCTTACTCCATCCCATTTAAGACTGATAGTAAGCTTGTAAGATGCATAGGATGGTCACTTAAAATGTGTCATCCTCATTTTACAGAGGTGGAAATTGAAGGACAAAAACATTGAATGACTTGAATCCAAGTTAAGCAGCCAGTAGCCAAGCCAGAGCTAGAACCCTGGGCCATGAAAACCCTCTGCTCCTAATTCCCTCACCTCCAAGGTGGCCCCTTCTCCACTTCTTTTAGACGCCTGGTCCTATCTCACTAACAAAGCCCGACTCTAAGAAAAGGAGCTGAGGGTCTACAGTTTAGAGCAACTTTATATTCAATAGTTCTCTCTCTCGGGGATATCTGCACAGCAAACCTTTCTGTCTAGTGGGCAGATCGTTTTTGGAGCTGAGATGAACTCAGGTAGGTGGATTCCAAATGTGTTTATTAGTCAGGGTCCTGCAGGACACAGAACTCTACTCAGTTCAACTGAACAGACCTTAGTGAAGGGGCTATTTACACTCCCATGAGTAGAGCTAAGGGAACCAACAAGGAGGGTGAGACATCCAGGGACCAGCAGCATTCTAGGTATGAAGGGGAAGGGGAGGGATGGTGAAACCAGTGTCCAGGGAGGGCTGGCAAGGTGAGTGAGGGGATGCCAGACAGGTGGTGTGGTCACAGAGGTGTTATGCCCCACCAGAATCGTAGCGCCAAAGCAGGGAAGGAGCAGGGAAGAAATACCCTGGACACTCTCTCTTCCAGCCCTCCTATGGGCGCCTCTTATTGGCTGAAACCAGCAGGAAGTCAGCCAGCAAGGGAGCCTGGGAAACGGAGTCCGCAGGAACCTGCCTTCATAGAGGAGAGAGGGATGGGATTGTGGGGGTAGGAGTGCCATTAGCACAAGGATGGAGGGGTGGTGATGTGAAGGGGGCAGAGGGAGAATCAGCAAGCAGCACAGGAGAGGAGTTGATCTGATGATGGACTATTTTCGTGTGAACTCTTCTGCCATCAGCGGGAAGCCTGAACATATTGACTCTGCCCTTTGTGTTCTCGGTGCTTGTTGCAAAACCAACCAACTTTGCTTGCCAAATTGCCAGGACTGAGTAGGAGGCAGGAAGGAGGAGATAGCCTTGAAAGATAATGGAATCTCATAATTTATGTTCTCTGAAAACGAGCTGTCCAGATAACCGGTGCTCACGAGAGGGGTGATGAAAGCGGAGTTTATGTGATTTAATTGGCTTTTTAAAGAGCATAGATGTTGGAGGCAGGGCCGGGGGTGTGCAAGAGGAGCCGGTGAACCTGGCAGTCAGACGACCCACGCTGGCTGTGCTCTGGTGAGACCACCTGCACCTGCCCATCCTGGGGAGAGGATCCTGCTGCCATCTACCAGGCAAAGCGGGATTCTGGATTACGAGTAGGAAGAGATAAAAGAGGCAATGCTTGGAAGGTTGTCTGCAGCAGTCTCCATCTTTCCTTCCTTCCCAGCCCACCTCAGGGGAGTATCCAACGTCTGATTTAAGCCCGGAAGAGGGGGGCTTGCCCAGCTGACTTGGCCTTCCTCTCCAGAGTCTGAGAACTCTCAGCTGCCAGCTCAATGGCCTCCCGCCTGGTCCCCAGGTTTCCTGTCCCCTCCCACGTGGGTGTGGAGGGAAGACAGTGGCAATGCAGTGTCAGAACTAGACCAAGAACAACATCTCCTCTCACCTCTCTTCTGCACCTCCTCTCTTCCTTAGTGAATCTTCCCAGCCACCCATGAGATAGGTATTTATCCTGTTTATCCTCCTTTTTCTGGAGGAAGAAACCTTGGGAGAGAGGTGACAAGGGACTTGCCCAGAATCACTCATACAACAAAAGAGTGGCTGTGCCCAGATTCTAACCTGAGTCTGTTTGACCCCAGAACCCGAGCTCTTAAACCCCTCGTAATTCTGCCTTCACATTCTTTCATTTATTCAACAATTATTTATGGAGCATTTACTATATGCCAGATGCTGTTTTAGGTGCTGGGGATGAAGTTGTGTGCAAAATGATGTTCCTGCCCTCATGGAGCTTACATTTTAGTTGCAGGGGGTGGAGTGGGGCTGGGGAGGAAAGAAAGATAAATAAATGAATAATTAAAATATATTATATTTTATTTATGATAAGCATTATGAGAAAAAATAAAGCATAGGGAATACCAAGGCTGGGGTGCGTAGTGGTTAGGAAGGGGGCTCAAATTTATCTAGGGTGATTAAGGAAGCCCCGTTGCAAAGATACTAATTTAAGCAAAGAATTGAAGGAGGTGAAGTACAAAAGAGGGTGGAAATTTGGCGAGCTGGCAGTGTTTTCTCCCCACACTCCCCCAGGTTTTATTGGGGGTATAATTGACATGTAACAAATCACACAGTGAGGAGTCAACTATAATAATTCAGGAAATAGATGATGGTAGCTGGGACCAGGGTGATCACAGCAATGAGAAGTCACGTTCTGGATTTATTCTGAAGGTAGAGCCAGTGGGATCTGCTGACAGATCAGATGTGGAGGTGAGAAAAAGAGGGGAGTTGAGGATTACTCCCAAGTTTTTTGGCCCGAGTCCGTGGGAGGATGGAGTTGCCAGTTACTGAGATGGGGAAGAAAGGGTAAAGAGCAGATTTAAAGGGAGGAGAAAAATGAGTCTAGAGGGGATATGTTAAATTTGATGTGCCCCCTACACATCCAAGTGCAGATGCTGAGTAGCTGCTCTGATCTACAAGGCTGGGGTAGAGAAGAGAGCATGTTTGCTTGTTTGTTTTATAGCTTTATTAAGGTATAATTGACATACAGCAAACTGCACATATTTAAATATTGAACAGTGCACTACTTGATAAGTTCTGGAATTTTTATTTGTGTTTAAAATTTAAAGCACTGATGAAGCAACCCAAGTGTCCATTGACAGATGAATGGATAAGCAAAATGTGGTATATACATACAATGGAATATTGCTCAGCCTTCAAAAGGAAGGGAATTCTGACACATGCTACATATGGACGAACCTGAGAACATTGCGCTAAGTGAAAAAGCCAGTCACAAAAAGACAAATACTGTATGATTCCATTTATATGAGGAATTTAGAGCAGTCAAATACGTAGAGACAGAAAGTGAAATGATAGCAGAGGCTGGCAGGAAAGGTGGAATGGAGAATTATTGTTTACTGGGGAAAGAGTTTCAGTTTTGCAACATGAAAAAGTTCTGGAGATTGGTTGCACAACAATGTGAATATACTTAACACTACTGAACTGTACACTTAGAAATGGTTAAGATGGTAAATTTGTTATGTGTTTTTATCACAATTAAAAAAATGTAAAGCAGTGAAATAGTACAAACAGCAAAGTATAATATTTGTGTTTTGTAAGTGCAAATTTTAGTTAATACATGTAATATGTTACTAAATTTGAATAATATCTTTAAGACTGAAATTTATTATTTGTGTTAGTTTGGGTCTTCCAAGCTAGGATGGAATTAGACATGAAAAGATTTATTTAATGGGGAAAATGCCTGTGAATGACAAAGGAGATGAAGCAGCAGTAGACAGGGAGAGCCTTCAGACCACGATGCTGGTCTTATACTCGGGAAAGAAAGGAGGGAAGACTGGGGAGGAAATTTCTTAGACTATAGCACCATTCTAACAAGATTTCAGCCAGGCCGATGGGGAGTCCGGAGTCCTTGAGCCAAAGTTGCCCATTCGATGAGTTCCCTGTGGCCACTTTTCACCTGAGGTCACTTCTCCTTCCACATAAAATAGATGACCAGGTGCACCACTCATAGCTCTGCCCACTAAGAAGATTTTCCCTCCCTATTGTCTTTCGGTGCCTCCTGTGAATGCGGTTGTAATGTAGCCACCATCCATTTTGGCTTGTACCCACATTTCAGGCCAGCCCATCTCTAAACCAAGCTGCAGTTTTTTCCTCCTCTTTCAGCTGGTCATGATCCTGCCCCCTCCGCTAATACGGTTGTAAGTGTGAGCTGAGGAGGGGTACTGGTGCAAGTGTGGTGGATGACATGTTGTTCTGGGCTACCTCCTCATGCAGCCAATTCCATTGGTTGAACCAATTCCATTTTACAATGAACTGAAGCTGGGCCTGTCCAACTTCATGATTTGGTGGGTTCAACAGAACCTAGCTCACAATGGTTAGGCCTGGATGCATGGTCAAGAGTTCTGTCTCTACCAGGGTCTAATAACAGGCCAGGAGCTGTTTCTCGAAAGGCATGAAATTTCCTGCTGTGGATTGCACAGTCTTGTTCCAAAATCCCAGTCCTGCATTGTGATTCTCTCATTGGATCTTGCTCTAAGCTCCACGCTGCATCTTTTTCCACCACTGATACCTCCAAGACCATAGGGTCTGCTGTATCACATAGCCCAATTGACAGGGCTGTTTGCACCATAGCCTGGACCTGCTGCAGAGCCCTTTCTTGCTGTGGGCCCTCTTGGAGCCGCCATCCATTTTTATCACCTGGTATATGAGCATATTAAATATTTCTGAATGTGGTCTGTGTTGCTTCTGGAGCCCCAGGATGCCCACCAGCAGAGAGAAGAAGGTGGTGGCAAGGCTCGGGCTCTCTGCTACCATCTCCAGTAATTCCACTCTGGCTTCAAACTTGTGCCCCCTAAGCAGCAAACAAAAGTCCTTCTTTGGAGTTTAGCGACTATTCGTTGATGCTAACGCATGTTCCTTGGGGGCCGGGAGACGGAGGGAAGGTGGCTGACCCTCACTCCAAGCAGTTTATCACAACCTGCTTTCTAACTACACCCAGCACCCACCCTTCCTCAGAGAAGTTTGCCCACCCAGCGGTGAGGTTCTGGACGAGACCAGCACCCTCGCTCGGGTCCGCGCGGAGATGGGCGGGGCAGCGCTGGGCGGGGCCTCCCGAAGCCACGCCCCTCCACGCACGCGTCCTGTCGCCCCGGCAACGCACCAGGTAGCGGCCCGAGTGACGCGCGGCTGCTGGTACCCGGCGCTCTTGGCTACACTCGGCATTGGCGAAGGCCGCTTCCGCAGGATGATGACGGGGGATACCTCTGAGACCCCTGTGCCCGAGTTGCAGGTCGAGGAGGAGAGCGAGCTGCCTGTTATCCAGCTGTGCGGGCTGGTGGAAGAGCTCAGGTACCGGCCGGCCGGCCGCTGGGGGCCGCCGCTCCTCACCGTGTGGGCTCGGACCTTGGTCCAGCGTGGAGGCCATCCAAGTCTGCATTCAGCATTGAGGAAACTGAGGCCCTCGAAGTGGGGAAGCAACTTGCCTTTGCTCTTTCCCGCAGTGTGTCCACCGCCATTGAGCTAACAAGCCGTTGATGGAGCCAGAACAGGGTGGAGGGGCGAGGGGGCGGGGCCGGCGGGGCGCAGCCCGGAGGGTAATTGGTGAAGCCTGAGCTTCAGCCGGGCGGGTCTGTCTGGTGCCAGACTGAGTGCTTAGCTGCTCTATTGTGTGGCAGCAGGTTGGACCAGGTCACCTCTAAGGCCCTTTCCAATGTTAAGATTCTATGATAAAATTAATGTGGCAGCAGGATAGAAAGCTACTGAGATGCTTTTAGTATGAGGCAACTTAACGCCTGAACTAGACTGTAAGCATGGAGATGGACAGCAAAGAATGACTGGCCCAGTAGTCTGTATTTTTAGCAGTCTGTTTTATATCTACTATAGCAAGTAAATTGGATATCAAGATTCCATGATGTAGGGGCCGGTCCGGTGGCACACGTGGTTATAAGTGCGCGCACTGCACTGAGGCGGCCCAGGGTTGGCAGGTTCGGATCCGGGACACACACCAATGCAGCACTTGTCAAGCCATGCTGTGGCGGCGTCCCATATAAAGTGGAGGAAGACGGGCACGGATGTTAGCCCAGGGCCAGTCTTCTTCAGCAAAAAGAGGAGGATTGGCAGATGTTAGCTCAGGGCTGATCTTCCTCACAAAAAAACAAAAAAACCCTTAAGATTCCATGATGTAGTTGAGGTAATTGTACCACTTATTGGTCACACACACAATATCTTGGCTTGGGCAGCTGAATAGACATCACTTCTACATATCTATAAATAGTTTAGGTTAGAACTGAGTATTACTAATAGCTACAATTTTTTGACTGCTTATTATGTGCCAAGTATTTTGCATACATGACCTTATATAATGGAACAGTAACCCCGGGAAGTGGATGAGGCAGCAGAGACACAGAGGTGAAGTCACTTTCGTAAGGTCAGTGGTAGTGCTGGGATTCAGACTCAGGTGCCACTCCACGTCCTACCCTGGAAACATGACAGATGCTGAAAAAGAAAGACGCTTTGGTTTATTGGGCTCTCCGTTGAGCCTTTTCCACTGATCTTAAAATTCAACCAAACAGGAATTAGCTCAATAATATATGAAAATATCAAAGCTGTTCTCTCTTTTATATATATATATATGCACACATACATATCCATGTATTGTACACACATATGTAACATGTATGTTATATATATGAAGTTAAGAAGTTAAAAAGGGCATAATCTTGGCGTATACAGGATAAACTATGTTTGTCATCTCTAGTTGTTTAAAAACTGTCTGTGCAAAGCTTTTTCACCCTTTATAATAAACTTCTAGTGGATACTTCGTTTACTAGGTGCTGGAAATAAACGAATTTGAGAAACATAAGCCAAAGGAAACAACTAAAGATTGTGGATGTGTGTAATTTCAAGAATGTAGTAATTTAGAAGGAGTTTCACAAATGGGTCAGAAGATACTTGAAGATGAAACTTGTAGCTTCATCTCAGCAGCAATTTTCAATATAATCCCAGTGCTCTGAATTTTGTGGTTGATTAGCTGTATTAAATAAAATATTAAATACTTAAAGAGCACTTACTGTGTGCTAGGCACTGTCCTAAAGGCTTTGCATTCCTTATTGCAACTCTAAAAGATAGGTGCTGTTATTATTCCCATTTTACAGATGAGGAAACTGAGGTACCAACTGGTTAAGTATCTTGCAGAAGGTCATGCATAGCTAGTAAGTGTTAAGTATTAGTTATTTGGGATTTAAACTCCTATTAGTAGAATTTACTCAGGTACCCTCTGTCTTGCAGCTATGGAAACGCTGCTCTCAAAACTGAGACAGAGATGTTTGAGAAATATTACAATAAACTGGAGACCAGGGATCAGCGACCTCCACGATTATCAGAAATTAAAATAGCAGGAGTAGATTTTGCACAGGTATGCAATGGAAATCTAAGAATTCTTTTATTCTGTTTATCCCTTTAGATGTCGTATTTGTGTATCTGCCTGTGGTGTGCCTGTTCTACTTTTGATTCTTTCTTCCCCTCCAAGGTTTCTCCTTCAAATAAGTATAAAGGGAATTGGGTTTAATTAATAGTGGAGCGACTCTCAGAATATCTTAGTTTGTTTGAAATGAATTATTTCAATTCATAATTTCTTAAATTGGGGGACTCAAAAGTTTATGAGGCCCAGCCAGCCACATAAAGGAGTGAAGTGGGCCTGGTGTGAGCACTGGAGAGTTCCTCCCTCATCTACAAGGGCCAGCCCGGAGCCAGCCCTAATGGCCTAGCGGTTCAAGTTTAGTGCGCCCTGCTTTGGCTGCCCAAGTTTGGTTTGACACGGAAACACACTGCTCGTCTGTCAGTAGCCATGCTGTGGCGGTGGCTCGCACAGAAGAACAGGAAGACCTTACAACTATACACGGAGGAAGATTGGCAACAGATGTTAGCTTAGGGCAAATATTCCCCAGCAAAAAATAAAAAAATAAAAGGGCCAGCCAGGTGGCCTGGTGTTGCCAGAGCAGCTGATTTTCCAAGGGAAGCTGGAAATCTGGATTATTTTGGTGGAATCTCCTGATTTTCAAATGTAGATAATTAATTTTTTAAATTTAAAACTGTGTATAGGTCTATCTTTTAGGGCCAAACAATCCCATCTTCAGGCCCACACATCCCTTGGGCCACCTGCTTGTGACCTTTGGCTTAAACGCATGGGAAATCTAAAATTTTTGTACGTTTGTTTCTTGCTGAACGTTGTGCTCCCAGATGCAATTTCTCTTCTGTGTTCAGTTCAGGAAGCACTGAGCTCCCGGCTTTCCCTGACATTCACTTGAATGCTGTTTTACAGCAGGTTCAAGGTCTTTCCACCCGCAAGACACTTTCCCTTATTTATTTTCAGTTCATCATCAAGCACAGGCCTTTGAGGTATTTAGCACAGGGGCTTAGGTTGACTTGTGAAATAAACATCACCTCAGGCCTAATATCCAGAATCCTTTCACATTGAGTTTGCTCTCCTGGCTGTCATTCCGAGTAATTTCTAGCAGGTCTGAGTGCTCATTTTGAGGCCCACCTTGGGCTGCTTTATTACTGATTCCTACTTGACAATGGCTTTGTTTTTCTTGCATTACAGTTACGAGGCAGGCGTAGATCGAAATCCCGCGTAGGTATAGAACGTATGGTGGGCCTCAGTGTCGACCAAAAATGTGAGCTTGTACAAAAGGAACTGGAAGACATGAAGGAAGAAATAAGGCACATGAGAGCAAACGCTGAACGGGATATGCAGCATCAAGAGGTATGCCTTTGTCTCTGTACGCCATCCTACCTGGGGCCCCACTTCTGCCTCATCAAGAAGTACCTATA